ATATGACACATAAGGTCGTACCCACCATATACACTAGGTATCCTTTAGTGTATTCCCGAATATGCAGCTTGCTGCCGGACTCTATTGCATGCCAACTATACCCTGTCCCTCAATAACTGAATTGGGCATACAATCTATTTTATTTGATCCATCCATGGCAAAGTATATTATCAAAATTTAACATTGGGCAGTTCATATCCGAAATAATATTCATGGTAAAATATCACATTTTCCAAACTCAATGCATTATAATTTCAATCTCTGACATATCAATGTCATGTCAATTTACAAAAATATGATATAATATCATGCTGATAAAACAAGGTCGACTTATCGCAAGTCTTCCTGATGATGTATAAAACATCCATATATAATTTCATGCATGTATTGCACTCACCTTGACACTTTATAATTTTCCAAAATAAGCCTCACTATTGTCCACAATAACCCTTTTCTTTTATACTCGAATCGTTTTGAACACCGAGTAAATCACAATCTGTACAAAATATAGATTCATTAAGATCATGCATGTACCTACGACTTAGTATCATTTCTTTAGCATGTTTGTGTTTACGAAACTCATAATGTTGATCTAGATTAGTGATTATACTATTGGGCTTTATAAGCTCAATGTTCGAATGTTTTTCGTTTGTATGTTAGTAGCTAAAGTCGATTGTGGAGCACTGCAACAAGAATTCCAACATCTCCTTCAGAGTATTGTACTGTAGCTTTAGTAGGAATATGTATTCATAGGACCCTTATTATTGTATTTAGAGTTATAACTCAGAGTTTTATTATTTTGATTTTAAATTATGTGTCACATAGCTTTTATTTATAAATTTTTTTGTAATCGTCTTGTATGTCTATTTTGATTCCATGAATTATGTTTTTGAAATGTAAAAGAACATATTTATGAAAATTAGGGTTTATCTTGGCAGGTCAATATGGTACTTTAGGTCTAATCGAGTTTAGGGTGTTATAGCTACATCTTCACAACATAATAATCAAATCAGCTATCATGACAAACAAATAATTTCCAAGGATAATTTAGCTTACAACACACTTTTTTCCTCTTGGTTTTATTTTTGAAAAATCTCAATTTCATACCTTTTGTCATAGAGTACTTCTTCACAACCTTTTTGAATTGAAGATTGTTTTCAAATCTCATACCAAGTTCTCATGTTAGGATGTGTCATTTTAGATCATATATGGGTCTACTATTTGAGCCCCATAACATGTTCCACAAATACCTAAAGAGTCATCACTGTCACCATATTCTCCCAGATTAGTAGAGTCCAAGTAGTTAATCTCATTATCGTCAAGCTTTTCAATTGTTTTTTTAACTTCATCTTCCTCAATATCCTCACCACCATCTTCACTAATTTCAACATCCTCTTCACTATCTTCAATAACTTAAACATGTTTCTTATCTTTTTTGCCCATTTATCAATTTTTATGTCTACAAATTTATCATCTACATCAAATGTTAATTCTATATTATGTAAGAAACAATCTTCATCTACCATATCAATCGCGACAACTCCTAATTCAGCAGTCTCAATAGCAGACTCACCATCATAATCCTAAACAATATCAACTATAACAACACTTATTTCAACAGACTCAACAACATGCTCACCATCATAATCCTTTTCAATATCAACAACTCGAGCCCCTAACTTAACAGTCTGAACAACAAGTTTAAAATTATCCAAAAAAAGAGATCGAATTATTCGGATCGAATATTTTTGCACACATCTACTTGTGATCCATATATCCGTAGATGGATTATGGGGCAGTGAGCGAGAACGATTGTTCATCTTGAAATTTTTAAATTTTTATTTATTTTAATTTTTTTTATAATTTTAGTTTAAAATTTATTTTTTTCTCTTCAAATTTTATAATATTGTGATATGTTAAAAGAAAATAGTATACTAAGGGCTTAATTGTCATAATTTGGAAGTTTAGAGACGCACATCTAGGGATGAGCATGGGATCAGAACCTGATGGGTTCCGACCTGATCCAACCCAACCCGAAAAAAATAATTTTACTTTATATATTTAGGTATAATTACAATAATACCCCTCTATATATATTATTTTTTCAATTAAGTAACTATTTTATTGAATAAAAATAATATTTTTTATTATTTCGGGTCGTGTCAGGTTTTTATGTTATATATCGGGTCGAATTCGGGTCGGGTGAAATCTTGTTTTATGATGGTTGGGTCGGATCTCGGGCGGATGAGTTATTGTTCTCGGGTCAGGTGGACCAAAAACCCGACCCGACCCAACCCAACCCAACCCGACCTATACCTATCCGTACATCGGCTGAAAATGGCCAACGGGGCGACTTAGAGAAATCTGGCGAAACATTTTGTGAAAATGACAAATTTTACACCATTATGGTTTTAAAAGCGGTATTAGTATCACTTGGTTTGGAGAAAACTGCAAGACACGACTCTAGACTTTCAATAGTTCACGCATTTCTCTCTTAGTTTTCTTGCATGTTTATTTCAATCCCTAATCTGTTTAAATTCATTACCTGATTTTGAATCTGTTCAAATTGATTCATAAAAAAAATCATTTTTCATTTAATTGGATCCCTCAGCTTTTTAATTATCCAGTTTTAATCTTCAATTATTATTATCCATATACAATTGAGTCTCTAAACTTCCAAATTATGACAATTAAGCTCTCCAAATTACATTTTCTTTTAAATTGTCCATCTGAATTTCACACTTAATTAATTTAAATCATCTAAACCTCAAAATTATTCCAATTTCACTTAGAAAGTTGTAAATTCCTCCTCAAAACTTTCTACTTTGGATTCAAAGTGCGACATAATATGTATCGTAATATTATAAATAATTATAATTAAATTTTTAAAAAAATCGAACAATTTGAATCAACTCAATTTTAGTCAATTTTTTTAAAATAAAATTTAAATCAGAAAATAAAACTTATCAACTTAATACTCACCCCGAATTATATTAGCTCGTCTTTCGTGTTCATTCCTTTTTCTTTTTAATCAAGTTGCCATGCTTGATATCCATTCCCTTTCACTATATTTGCATGCAAACAACACGTGTCTACTATTACGTGAGCTACCCTTAAAATTTTAATAAACACTTTCGTTAGGAAAATGATAAATCATGATAAATTTTACCTAGATGTAATCAAACAGTTAAGTATAGCTTAGTTTTGATCAATTTAACTTTTGTTTATATATTTGTCTTTTTATTATTATTGTTATCACACACTATAAAATTCTGCTCAAAAGTACTTGAAAATTATCGCTACGGCGGACAATGCAGAAAAATATCCAAAACGGCGGTTTTTGTTTTAATCAAGCCAAGAAGTAGGAGTGAATATTTACCCGAATCGATTCAAGTCAAATAAAATTTTTTGAGTTATTTGAGTTAATGAAAATTATTTTATAACTCAAACGTGATTTGAATTTTTTTTGAGTCAAGTCCAATTATTCGAGTTTCTATTTAAATTTAATTATAAATATTTATAATATGATAGTATTATTAGATTTCAATTTATACATTTTCTATAACCATATATGATGCTTATATATTTCTTCATATTTTTTTCATATATGATATACATATATCATATAGAGTCGAGAGACTCGACTCAAACTTGATAATCAATCTACTAAATACTAAAAAGTTGAGTTATTTGAGTTCTATTTTGTATCTCGATTTGAATTTAAATTTTTTAGTCGAGTCGAATTTATAAAATTATAAGTTGAAGTCAATCCAAATCGAGTAAAAAAAATATTTTCATTCGAATCGAATTTTACTCACCCCTACAAATGAGAATCCCCTCCACCACTAATAAAAAATGTGATACTCTACATATTTAGTTGTCTAATTATTTATGTAATTATAATTATTTAATTATTTTTTAAAATTACTATTAAATTTATATTTTTATTTCATTTTGATCATCTATTATTAAATTAATAATAATGATATTGATGTATCAATATAAGATCGTGTCATATCATCATTGAAAAATATTAACCATTAATAATTTTATTAGGCTACCAAGACAAAATAAAATATAAAGTAAATGGTATTTTTAAAAAAAATTAAAATTAAAATATAAAATAATTGAATGATTAAATATATAATTTTATTTAAAAATCGATAAAAACAAATAGGATTTCTAATAAAAGCTCTAGAAAAAAGGGAAAAATTTAAAAGAAGAAAACAAAACATACCATCTCATCACGAAATGTCTAAGGCACGACAGTCATTATATTCGGCTAAGGAATGCGCTACCAGAAATGTTAATATATTTTTTAATATTTTCGGTGAATCGTAATCTAAAACATTAATTTTTCTACCGAAAATGTTAATATTGGAGGCTATAGAAAATGTTTAACATTTCCGGTATAGTGCTACTTAAAACATTATTTTTCTACCGAAAATGTTAATATTGGGTTCTATTGGAAATTAGTTAGTGAAATTAACATTTCTGATAAAAATAATGTTTTAGGTAACGCTTTACCAAAAATATTAAAAAAATATTAACATTTCCTATCAGATTTTTTCTTAACCATATATTAAAACTATCGTACACCAAAACTACCCATATCATCATTAGCCTTCCGTCGCCATTAATTTCAGTTTCTTCCCACTTGAGATTCTCTATTTGTCCTTTTAATAATTCTCGTAAATTTATGATTTGGCAATTTAAATATTTAAGTAATAATTAATGCTAGTCTCAGCTAATTAGGAAAAATCTCTAGAGAATTAAATTTCTTGACTTCTTTTATTTATTACTTACTTTATTATAAACAAATAAAAAGCTTCCTTTTGTTCCCATCATGGTATGCATTTACATCCTTCCCTTTTTACTCTATCAAAATCAATAGTCATTTCTCTCTCTCTTTTTATCTTGTAGTATATAATCATCATTTTGTATGTATATAAAGGAGTCTTTTTTTTCATAGCTTTAGAGCATAAAGGTCCCGTGGTGCCATGGGTAAGGTACTTTTTGTCGTATCATGCTGCATGCTTTTGGGGTTTGCATTGATTGAAGCAGCTCAGAATGGTTCACTCGTAACTCACCTACCGGGCTTCAATGGCGTTTTCCCATCCAAGCACTATTCTGGGTAACTATTCATTCTTCTTCTTCTCTGGGGTGGGTTAATTGGAAATGGTGAAATAAAGAGGGTGAGTTGGTTGGTATTGCAGATACGTGAGCGTAGGACAGAAGAATCTCTTCTATTACTTGGTTGTTTCGGAGAGAAACGCCGGCAAGGATCCAGTTGTTTTGTGGCTAAATGGTGGACCAGGTTGCTCTAGCTTTGATGGGTTTGTTTACGAACATGGTACAATCTTGAATTCATTAACAGATACGATTAGTGGTCATAATTCCAAAGTCGAGTAAAAATAGAAAATTTGAGTATTCGAGTTGACAGTCTTATTTTATAATTCAAATTTTATATTTAAATTTAATTGTAAATGTCAATAATAGTATAGTCCTAAATCCTAATTAATTCCAATTTAAACAAATATCGAGTTGAGTCAAAAAGAAAATTTGAGTTATTCGAGTTGGCGAGTCTTATTTTATAACCCAAATTTTATTTGAATATTTTTTAAGTGGAGTTTATATTTAAATTTAATTATAAATGTCTATAATGGTATTGTCCTATTTAATTCCAATTAAATAAATTTTTATAATTATGTACAATATACATATATATTTTTTTTCATAATGTTAATATTTATATTATGCAGAATTAAGCTGCTCGACTCAAACTTAAAATTTAATCCACTAATTACTCAAAATTTCAAGCTACTCGAGTTCTATTTTATAACTTTTACTTTATTTGAAAGTTTTCGAATCGACTTTCTATCAAGAATTACGAAAGTCAAATCAAGTTGAATTTTGCTCACTCCTAGATAGAACGGGCTAATTCTGGTTTTGGTCCGTGTATTATGCATTTTCTTGCTACATCCCGTGTACGACTTTTTACTGTACTCGTGATTTACTATAATTTGATACTCATGAAGAAGATGATGGATGCAGGTCCTTTTAATTTTGAAAAAGGGAACCCCAAGGGAAGCCTCCCCACATTGCATCTCAATCCATACAGTTGGTCTAAGGTCAGGGGCAGGCACACCCTTTAAATCAAACAACTCATCTTTTTTATTGTTAATCACTCTATCTTTTAGCATTTTTCCAGGTTTCCAATATCATTTACCTAGACTCACCGGTTGGCGTTGGCTTCTCATACTCTCGAAATACAAGCACGTACACAACCGGAGACATCCAAACCGCCGCCGATACACATGACTTCCTCCTCAAGGTATTTAAATAACAATCCTATTGTTTAACTCCCAACATATAGAGATTAAATGGGGGAACTGATTTTTGTGTAGTGGTTTGATTTGTATCCGGAGTTCGTTAGCAATCCGTTCTATATCGCCGGAGAGTCGTATGCGGGAATTTATGTGCCCACTCTTGCTTCTCAAGTGGTGAAGGGTAACCTTATTTTTGGGTGATCATAATGTATTATTCACTAGAGATTTCCATGTTATGCAGTATAGGAGCTTTATTAGTATGACTATGATTTACCTTCTGGTTTTAGGGATCAAAGATGGTGCAAAGCCCAAAATCAATTTCAAGGTATATTATTGCATTATCTAGCAAGTTACAAGTTGTGGGACAAAAAGCTTTGGAATTGAGGAATTTGTAAATGCAGGGATACATGGTGGGAAACGGGGTGACTGACCCTGTTTTTGATGGCAATTCATTTGTCCCCTTTGTTCATGGGATGGCCCTCATTTCAGATGACATTTTTGAGGTACTTACAAATCGAAATACGAGTTTACATTTGATGCACTAACAGTATATCGAATTAAATACCATTATGTTTTAGTTAACGGCGTATCATCGATATCCCGTTTACTAATGGTGTATAGTTATGACGGCTATTATCAAATCTTGTAGTAAATTAGACACTGATGAGATGAATCACAATAAATATTGCAGGCAGTTATAGCAGCTTGTGGGGCTGACTTTTCTAACTCTTCTACGGCGGCGTGCGCTGAAAAACTATCATATGTTTACGTGGTTAGAAATATAGACCAATTTTGATTTGTAATATTTTGTCTCCCAAAAGTATTACTTAATCACTTGAACTAATTATGAGAGAACTTATCAGGCGCTTGCCGGCCTAAATATTTATGACATCCTTGAACCCTGCTACCATGATCCAACTTCGCTACAAGGCTCGAAAGGAAACACTAGCTTGCCCAATAGCTTCCGGCAATTAGGGGTTACGTCGAGACCACTTGCAGTTAGAACTCGGATGTTCGGTCGTGCTTGGCCGTTTAGGGAACCGGCTAAGGATGGCATTGTCCCTTTATGGCCTCAACTAGCACAGAACATTGAAAACAGTGTACCCTGTATTGTAAGTTCTTTTTACTCATTCATTCCTTTGAAATTTGATGACAGATTATCACTCATGGTGCATAGTCATACATTGGTTTGTATTTGCAGAACGACGAAGTAGCAACCAGGTGGCTAAATGATGCAGCAGTTAGGAAGGCCATTCATGCTGAGACAGTAAACATCTGCCTCACTTTGAGTCCATCAGTTGAAATATGAGTTTACGATCCTTATTTTGCGATTTGACTCATTTCACCGTCAATAATTCATTGCAGGAAAACGTAGCAGGGCCTTGGGTGTTATGTACAGATAGAATACGCTATTATCATGATGCTGGGAGTATGATTCCGTACCATAAAAACCTAACAACAGAAGGCTATCGAGCGCTTATTTACAGGTAACTCAATGTTTAAGAGCTCATTTTTCTTTTCCTTCTTTGCATCTTAATGTTTAAATTTAACGATTCACTTGCAGTGGAGACCATGATATGTGTGTGCCTTACACTGGTACCCAAGCCTGGACCAAGTCAATAGGATACAAGACCGTGAGTCCATGGAGGTCATGGACCTCTAATGACCAGGTTTCTGGGTAAATCTCTTTCAGAAAACTATAGATTACAGAATCATGGTTACTTTTCCCTTTTGTCATCAATTAGTCAAGAATTTAATTAATGAATAGCAACTGGATCTTACAATGGTCGGTTTGCAGTTCCCTCTTATGATACTAATACGTTTATTATGTTCCGATTAAAAGTGTGTTTATGGCATTAATTTATCATACAACAGAACCTATCGAGTGACTTTAATGGTGAAAGAAAAGGATGTTGTTCTTAGAAGATTCATATTTGGGTAAGAAAGATTATTTTGTTTTGGTTTGTATCGTTAATTTGGTTCATTTACGTTGTTGCAGGTACTTGCAAGGTTATGACCATGACCTTACCTTTCTAACCATCAAGGTTTGACACATTCAATCTCTGTTTCTCAAACAATGGATTGGGAAATTCTATAATAATAAGATATGGAATGGATGTGCAGGGAGCAGGGCATACAGTCCCAGAATACAAACCATTGGAAGCATTGGACTTCTACAGGCGATGGTTGGATAAGGAACCTATATGAGATTGACGATATCATTTCTTTGTCAACCAAACAAAAACATTTCTTTTTTTATAACAATCAATGAAATAATTAATAAGCCTTTTACTTTAACCCTCGCGTTTAATCAAGTTGGACTGCAAATAAAAATAACAGCCACATTCTTTCAATCACGAAAGATACAACCTGAGAAAGATAACATCTTTTGTTGCAAATAGAAATAGTTATAATAATCCAATATCCGAAGGAGTTAAAATAAAGATAGAGCTGGATTTACAAAATTTCCAATTCTACCAAAGCAACATGCATGCAAAACTTGCAAAATGGGAGGGAAAAGCAAGCACTAAACGGACCTTACTTGAGAAAACCCTCCTTGTCCTCCTTTTCCGGAATGAACCTCGGGAGATTCACGAGCGTATTGACACGAGACACTCCTTCCAGGGCGGACCAATCCATTCCTCCAACCGAATTCATTTCCTCGTGCTTTGAGCCATCTTCATTGTCATCAAGTGTTTCTTCAACCGTCCCGGACTGAACGAGAGGGATCAATACATCGAGATTTTCTTTCTCCTCCTCGTCGGCGTCAATGTCGTCGTCAACTTGGTTCTCTAAAGTTGGCTGCACTTTGGTCTTGGCATTAGAAGCAACTGACAAATTGTTCAAATTTGAATCAAGGAAGAGGCAAACAACAGCACAATCATCGACTTTTGAAGTTGGGTACTTATATTTCCAAGCTCGGACTGCTACCTCAACCAATGCTCGAGCCGCATATGAACGAGCTGGGGCTGACGCAATAATATCCACCACTTCTTTATTTGAAAGAACATCCCATATCTGCAAAATATCGAAGCCAGCCTAAGAAAAGGAGACAAGGTTCAAATGCCGTTTGAAATTTCGAGTAAGAATTAATGATGGCTCTATTACCCCATCTGTGGCCAAGACAACAAATTCATCTTTCTCCGATAGGTGCCGATAAGATACTTCAGGCACAGAGATCAGGCCAAAATCCTTCAGGCAGAAATCTCCAAACGCCCGTGCCATAGCAAGGCCAGGTGAATCATTGTTTGGTAGCCAAACTCGGGTCACCTCAGGTTCATCCGCAAGAGCATATACACGACCTTTACATCTTCGGATTCTCTCTGCTTCCGCTGTAAAAGGAGGGGGGGGGAGAATAGTGTTTAGCATGGGCTCAGTATTAGAAAGTACAATAAGTACCAAAAGCGTATTCCCCATTGACTGCAAAATCAACTTCATCTAAATTTTCACAAATCTAACAGTAGTGAAAACCAATTAGGACTAGACTTAATACTGCAGTTTCTGATATGCATGCACTCGTGTATGACTAAAAAATCACCTGGAAGATTCGGTTTAAGATCAACAGTTAACTGAACTGCAGTAAGTGAATCATCTTTGTTCTTTGTACCCAACACAGCTCTTGAGTCCCCAATATTTTCCAATGACAAGATACGAACCCTATAAAATGAGCCGAGACAACTATGATTAACTACAAAACATATCATAACATAAATTTTCAAATAAAACTTTTAAAATTGCTACTGGTATACCTGCTTGACCAAAGTTACAGCTGTTGTCCCACTGCAGAAGCAATCAACACTCGGATGCATCCTAAGTTCACGGTCCATCGCTTTGTAAGCCTTGAGAAAACACCCTTTAAGCATCTCAAAGATATCTGGATACTTTTCTGTTTCTTTAAGATCTTCAGAAGCCCTAGATTCCTCATCAACTGACAAAAGATCCATATCTTCAGAGTTCGTGCTTCCTGCAGCATTCGAACCGAAAGCATCCTCACTGGACATATTGACATCCCAGTGAGCACTCAGTTTTAAGGGAAGACGGTCTCTCACTCTCTTTGCAACCAAATGACCATACGGACCATGACCATCAAAAACACCACAAAATACTGTATCTGTTCTTGAACAAAAATTCTGGGAAAAGACAAACATTGATAATGAGAAAGGGAACATTAGCACAAAAGAACTACATTAGTAACAATCTTTAGTACCCGGAGAAATAGCTGATTTGCTTTACAGATATATCATTACAGTACCCCTTATAATCAAAATAGAGAACAAATGTTCCAGGAATAAAAATGGATTTAACATCTACACCTTCTTCACCAACAAATGTTCATCCATAGGAAAAAGAGTTAAAGAACCATTTTTATTAACCAGTCCACAAGCATTACCTTCATCGGGTTCCAACTATGTAAGATCAGCTACATGGACAATATTAGACCATTATGTTCTATTTAGAACCATATCATCAACAAGTTCGATAAAATATGTAATAATTTACACTTTGAAACCATAACCTTTGCAGTCTTCCTCACCTTCTTGTGACATTTTCATCTTAAACAAAAAAGATAGTATCATAAAACGATTTCAAACAAACACAAATGCCCCTAAATATAAATAGTGAAGAAGTATCATTTCCTATAGCAACTAATGGTTGGATTAAATATGGAGTAGCATACTGAATATAAATTGTCTGCTTTCAGAGGCTCAAAGCTATACAAGAAAACATAAAACATGAACTTAAATATATAAAATGACCATTGTTTGATCGTAAAAAGAATATAACGAACAAAAAAAAGGTAAATTAACATGAGAAAAATGGATAAAAAGAGCTCACCTCCCAAACAATCATGGCATCCTGGTTGGTTCCTTTCTTTCCCTGTTGAGAATAGAGTGAAGCAACGTCACTGGATCCATTCAAGAACAACCTCCCCGGAATCCTATGCAACAGCTTGTCCTTCCGGTAATCGCATGAAGAACTCCGAGAGCCGAGCCTCTTCCTCAAGTTCCTCCTCTTCATATTCGCCAAATGAGGGGACAAAGGCGAACCAGGGAGAGGGCTCCTGCTTTCAGCAGATAAGCAGGACCCCATTCTGAGGGCCCTGATAATGCTGAATATGCACTCCAGACCAGCAAAACAATAACAACCCTTAGTGTCTTTTGATAGATCCGTCGTGATTGTTGGGTTGGATCCTTAAACAAACCCTTCTCTGGCTAATATTTTGATTGATCTACCAAATAATCATTTCAATTTTACATTCCAAAACTTTTCTTCCAATTCAGAGCTATAAGTCCAATTCACAGATTGAAGATACCTTGATTTGCTCTTCAATCCCCTAGAATTATAATCTTAAAGCAACCCTTTTGAGTTTTTCACTTCAAATCTCTACAATGACGATCTAATGTCAAAATTGCCAGATACCCTTTACCAGTTTCAATCTAATGATCACACCAATCCACAATTTCAATCTCACAAAGTGGTTCCAGTAAAAACAAAAATCTCAGAATCAGCCAAAAGACAGAGAAACAAAACAAGGTTTGGCGTCTAAAGCTTTCTAACTTGCAAAGGAAGGAAAAGAATTTCGTGATCGATGGATAAGAATGACCAAAAAGAATCTCAATTTTGGTTTTTATCCTAATCGGAAAGCAAATAATAAAAAACAGAATTGAAACTTTAATTCTAAATTCAATAACTTGATAAAAGAAAAAGCAACAACCTTTCTAATAAATTTGTCACAATAATAAATGAAGGAATTGAGAGAGATCCTATAATTCAACCATAAACTACCCAAAAGTAAGAACTTTCTTCGGAGGGTCAATGGCAAAGCAAATAAAATCCATGGTTAAGATCCACCCAAAAAGGGGGCAAAGGCTAAGAATTGATAGCAAAGAATGTGAAAGGAAAACAAGAGAAAAAAAAAGGGCAGTTTGAGGGATACTTGAACAAAGGAGAACGAAGAGAGAGAAAGTGAGAGTTTGTTTCGAGAGAGAAGAAGAAGAAGAAGAAGAAAATGATGATGACAATTAATTGGGATAAATCGAAAGAGAGAACAGGCAGCGGGTACTAATTAGCGACAGAGAGATAACCGCAACCACCAACAACAAACTCTCCCTATTTAGATATAAAATAAAAACAAGGAAAACTTTTTAATCCACCAATTTATTTTAAAGAAAACAACTATTGAATAAATTTTAAATGAATAATTATCTTTTAGTATTTAGTTATTATTAAAATTAATAAATTCAAATTTTTTATATAATTAATATATATTTTTATGTCATTTAACTAATATAAATAATCATTATTTTAACCTATGAAGCATAATAAAAGTGCAATTTAAAATTGATATTATATATAGTTTAATATTTATCAAAATTTTATATATTTAAAATTTTATTTTAAATAATAATAATAATAATAATTTCTTATCTTTAAGTAAGAAGTAAGTTCAAAAAATAAGATGTCGTGCATTTATAAATTTGAATAATTAAAATTATAGTAAAATTATAATTCAAGATGAATATAAAGTATAATTTAATATTTATTTAATTTATATTTAATTATAATATAATAAAATTTAATACTTTAGATTATAAAAAAGTGTAATTAAAGATTAAAGTGTAATTCATTGTTCACTAATCATATATAAATTCCAATAGTTTAAATAACAATTGTTTAAACTCATCATGAAAATGTTGGAAATATAAATTGTAAAACTAGATATTAGCACTGACAGGACAAATAAAAATATATATAACGAACAAGCAAACAGCCAAAATCGTGTCGTGGTAAAAACCACTACCTTAGAAACAAATTCGCCCTGATGTGTGTAATCGCTGCTTTAGGAGGATTATCCCTTAAGGTTAACACTGTCGCTCCAAATTTCGTACACCTAAAACTGGAGTGGATAACCTTGTAGTGCTTTTCTGATAGCAGCAGAGAGAATTACTCGAAAGGCTTCTTTTTTAGAGAATATGTAAGAGTTGAAAAGCTTGGAAAACTTTTATATTTATAGGCTGGACGTCAGGGACAAAATGGTCCAACAGAAATCATATTTATATCTGATTAATTTTTGTATTAAATCTTTATCTTAAACTGTAATCATAAATCAATGAATTTAACCTCAAGTCAGTTTAGGTTCGTAGTTTAAAGTCCAGTTGTTTGTAACTCATACAATTACGTTTGTAACTCTTGTATTTAGTCTATAA